AAAAACAAACAAGCTCATTCTACTTGAGAGATTTTTAGAAGAAACTAAACTGGAAAGAAAACAAGGAGGTTGTGGTAAGGGAATCAACATTCTCTTCGTTTTATTTAGTTTAGCTTTTAAAAACACATTGTTTAAAATCATTTTATTGGGGGCTCGTACAGTTCTCATCACAACCCATCCATCCATCCATCCATCCATCGTGTCAAGCACATTTGCACTCATCATTCTCAAAACATTTGCCCTCCACCTCAGCCCTTAATATCAGTTGCTCATTTCCCCCCTTCCTCCCCACCCCCTCCCTCATGAGCCCTTCATAATTCACAACTTATTATAGTTTTGTCGTAAGTAACACTGTCCGAGGTCTCCCCCAGCCCTCTTCTCTGCTGTCCCTCCCCCAGGGAGAAGGCAATACCTAGATTATTGTAATAGGTTCCCCCTTTCCACCCCACATTCCCTTCACCCTCCAGGCCTCGCCCCTCTCACCACTGATCCTGAAGGAGTCATCTGTCCTAGATTCCCTGTGTTTCCAGTTGCTATCTGTACAATGTACATCCTCTGGTCTAGCTAGATTTGTAAGGTAGAATTGGGATCATGATAATAGTGGGGGCGGGGAGGAAGCATTTAAGAACAAGAGGAAAGTTATACATAAAAACACATTTTTCATTGTGTTTCTGTTTTTCCTTTATGTTTTCATTGTTACGGAGGAAGCAATAGGAACATAGGATTTATAAGTAGGTGGATTCAAAGACATTTGTCGGTCGAGTACTTTCCTATGTATTATGTGCTTTAAAAAACTAAAATTAGAGGTTTTGTCAGATGTAAACATTAGTAATATTAGCCTGAAAATAAAACAAATCCTCATCAGTGTGAGAAATGTTTTATATGCTATTTACATTATTTCATGGCCATGACATTTGCTAACTCATTGGCAATGCTCTTAAGAAAACAGACTCCACCCGACAGCTGTCAACGGTGCTCTGTAGCTCTCCCTGAGCCTCACTGCGATGAGGCTGTTTCCCCCTACAGTCAGGGTTTCACGTTGGGGATTCAGCTTTGGAAACAATGTCCAGGAATGAGCAGGTGCAGTTCACAATTACAACAGGACAGCGCTGATAACACCTATTCCTGTCCTTACAATCAAAAGGCAGCTGCAAAACAGGCCACGAACCTTGTCAAGAACTACAGTCCTTTGCAGACAAATCTGCACAAAAACAGAAATGATCGCCTAATGGTGTATTGGTGAACAGAGGATGAGAGTAAGGTGGATTAAACAGAAATTGCAGATGGTTAGGGTTAGTGATCATACAAACCATCCATCTAGACTAGAGACATAGAACTTCTGGGTTATTAGGATTCTGGGCCAACTGGCCAGGCTGCCCCTCCTGTGGGCATCCTTAAAAATATGCTGACAAACATTGCCCCTCTGATGTGCAGTCTAAAATCTGGAAGGACACCCTTCTTCTTGTCCAAGGTCTTTCTCCCAACAGGTCCAACCAGGTAAGCGACCACATCAGGTTCACTGACCCACAGAGCTTTCCTCTATCTCTGGTGTTTTAGGGGATTAACACGTTCCAAAATACATGCTCCTTGATATTATCTTGATTTTCCACTCCAGAGATTCTCAGCAGCTGCAGGTCCCTGTCACAAGGGCATCCATAGGATTCACCCTATCACTGATAGCTAAGTTTTGAGGGAAACATCTTCACATCTCCACAGACATTGTTGATGGTTAGGTCAGAAAGGCCAAAGGCAGCCTCTGTCCTTGAATCAATCTTGGAGAACCAGCTAAGCCTCTCACTTTTGCAATGACATTGACCAGTGTCTGCTCTAGAGAACATGTTGAATTTCAGCAAAGCTTACTGAGAAAGCATTGACCTAAGATCCAAGGTCATAAAGCCCAGTTCATCCATTTGTCCACTCACCAATGAGTAGACGAATTACCTTACTGCAAATTCATAGATGTAGCCATTTGTCAAGTGTCAGGCAAGCACAATCACCAATTTCACAGTCATTTATTTTTCTATTCTGGGAGCACAGTGGTTCCAGCACTGCGTTGCTAACCACTAAGTCAGCGATTCAAACCCATGAACCACTCTGCAGGAAGAAGATGAGGCTTTCTGCTCCCATCAATATTGACGTGTCGGAACCCTAAAGAGCCGTTCTACTCTGTCCTGGAGAATGGCCATGAATCGGAATTGACTTGATGCAGTGGGTCTGTTATTACCTATTTGTAGCATGTAGGAAATCCTCATTTCCATGGCCTGAGGTCACCTGGGGTTTTTTGGTGGAAGTAGCAGTTTTTGTGCTTGGGGCTCAGGTATAGCGCGTGGCACAATAACAGAGATGGCTGTGGTCTTCCTTCTTCTCCTTCTTACTCTCCATTGAGTCATGGATTTCTTTCTTTTGTGACTTTCATGGGAGCAATCCCGTTCATTTTATTTAACTCTTTTTTATAAGCCTCAAATCTTAATAGCTAAGTCAATTTTAGGAAAAGAACTTCCTGTAGGAACAAAATAATGATGCTCATTCCTCCAAACAGTCAAATTGAAGGTCTACCAAAATCAAAACCAAACCGGGGGTGGGAAGTGGTTAAGAAAAATCACATTCTAGCTTTTTTTCGGTGACTGGGAGGTGAGGTTCAGTCGGACCGCCATCGTCGGACCTCGTTGCCCCCAAGCCGCTAGTCAATAAAATGATTGGTTCGCAAAAAAAAAAAAAAAAATCACATTCTAGAACTTCAGTGCGTGTAGCCGCCTTGACTGTGCTGCTGGATTGTCCTTAGGCTGACTTTTAAAAAAAGAAAAAGAAAAACCACCCTGGTGCATCAAAATATATATTTTCCATTCGCTTTTTTTAAATTAAATAATCATTTTATTAGGGGCTTATGCAACTCATCACAATCTGTACATACGTCATTTGTATCCAGCACTTTAGTACATATGTTGACTTCATCATTCTTACAACACCCACTTTCCACTCGAGCCCTTGGTGTCAGCTCATTTCTAAAATTAAAGATAATAATATTTTTTTTTTAAACTGAAGGAATTCACAGTCAATAGCCTGACTCATTCTGATGTCGTCAAACGTGTGTCGGTCACACATGATGGATGACCTCATCTTGAAGGCTTTGTCGTCCTCCACACAGTGTACAACACCCACAATCCCAAGTAGCCAGGGACACAGACGATCTCCTTGGAGAATCCCACAGCACAATAGAGGCGCCCGAGCTGTTCTTCATAGAGCGACAGGGCTTCCGTCAAATTGACAGTTCCGCTGTGTAAAGTATTTCCCATCTTGTTTCAATACTTTCATTGAAAGGTCAAGACTCCTGTCTCTGAGAAACCCCCAGATGGAATCTTCCTCCGGAGATGCGGAGATTTGATCAATCTCTACCATCGTCACCATCTTTGGTTTCAGTTTCGCGATTTCGCACAAAATGCCCCCATCTCCACCGCCCAGAATCAGTACATCTTGGCTCATGTAATCTTCTTTTCCACTGCCCACAATGGCCCGGTACACGCCACGTCACTCTCTGCCAAACGGACCTCTCCGCTGAGGACGAGAATATTTCCAAATTGTTTCGAGTGTAGAATTTCGATGTTCTGATAAGGTGAATCCTCATCGATGTCATATTCCACCAGGCGCCCGTCGGCAGTGGGCCAATACCTGTCGCTCTTCCTCGAACCGTGGGTGGTAACCCCCTTCCCCTCGCTGTACTTCCCTGGTTCCGTTCCTTCATTCGTTCTTCTAGTTTGTTCAGAAGACTGCCAAATTCTTTGTTGCCTTGCGCATCACTGTCGTAACTCTGAATGTCCAGAAACACCAATCTGTGGGGGTAAATTCTCAAATTGGCAAAGCTGCCATTTTTGTCGCTATAGGTTGCTAAGTAGCCATGGTCCTGCCGGGAGTGCACTGACTCGGTCATTCCCTGCTCTTGGAAAATGGGCTGCAGGCCTTTGAGAATGGCTTCGCCTTCAGCTTTGGCGCCGAGCGCGTGAAGTCCGGGTGCTGTGTGGTGCTCAGAGTCATGGGTTTTTAATCTTGAGAAACAACAACAGAGGTATGTGCAGGAAGTACCAGGGGGATTGTGTCTGTAATTGTTTTCACATGCATGTTCATACGCACATCCCATGCAAGTTCGTGTGAGCATGCGGGAACACAAATACTTACATAGTGCGTACCACCCAACGTGTAGCATGGAGAGTCAAGATGAAACACAAATTTCCCCACACAATATGGGTTGCATTTGAAAACTATTAGAGTAAATTAATAATTCTGTGGCCCACAGTTGACCTGTTGTGAAATTGCACAATGTTTGCTTGATGCCTTCCCATTTGCCAAGGTAAAGACATAAATTTCAGACACACACATAATATTTGAGTGTGTGTGTGTGTGTGTGTGTGTGTGTGTGCAGAGATATAGAACTGATAGAAATAGAGTGAGGATAGAGGAAGGGATTTTAGAGATAGAAGAACATTTTACATGATACTTCCTCCCTACTCCTTAACCAAAAACATTTTTCTGAAGGTTGGTGATAATTCTTTGCTTCTTCTGATGTCGTATAAAACTTGATGTAAAATGTTCTCATTAAGATTTCGACACTGACGTTCATGATACTGTGATTTCTATTGATGTTAAATTTTTTTCTAAGACTAATTTCATCTTTAAATTCTTCTATGACAGTTAATTTTCTTTTCCAGAAATCTCCTTATTGATTTGCATATGTTCAAGTTACAGCCAACGGTCGTTTTTGATTATTGCCTTTTTCACTCTGATGTGATATATGTGCGCTTTATGTCCAGCACAGTGTCAATGACTCTCGACAAACTACAAATGGCATAGCTCACGTCTATAAACTTGATGTGGCATTATGAATTTAGACAAACAGATTCTTAACTCAAAAAGTTAAGAAAAGTAATCTGTCACCTGTTTATTTATTTAAAATTGAAGGAGTTCTTAAAAATTTATTCATAAAAAGAAATGTCACAAAGAATATATTCCAGAAGAATGTTATCACTGAGATATCTGACTGTCTCTTTCACAGAGAAATGGGGGGAAATCAGACGTCTGTCACAGAGCTCATCCTCCTGGGGTTCTGTGTCAGCCCAAGGATTCAGCTGCTTCTCTTTGGACTGTTCTCCTTCTTCTACGCCTTCACCCTGCTGGGGAACGGGGCCATACTGGGGCTCATCTCGCTGGACGCCAGGCTGCACACCCCCATGTACTTCTTCCTCTCCCACCTGGCTGTTGTAGACATCGGCTACTCCTGCAACACCGTGCCCAGGATGCTGGTGAACCTGCTGAGTCCCACCACCTCCATCTCCTTCGCTGGCTGCATCACACAGGCTTTCTTTGCTTTTACTTTCGCTCTGACCGAATGCCTTCTTCTGGTGGTGATGTCCTACGACCGCTATGTGGCCATCTGCCACCCGCTCCGGTACTCTGCCATCATGAGCTGGAAGGTCTGCATCAGCCTGGTGGTGACTTCCTGGTCATGTGGCTTCTTTCTGGCCCTGCTCCATGTCAGTCTTACCCTGAGACTGCCCTTCTGTGGACCTCATGAGATCAACCACTTCTTCTGTGAAATCATGTCTCTTCTCAAGCTGGCCTGTGGTGACACCTCGCTCAACCAAGTGGTCATCTTGGTTGCTTGTGTTTTCACATTAGTGGGTCCCCTTTTTCTGGTGATGGTCTCTTATACCCGCATCCTCGTGGCCATCCTGAGGATCCAGTCCGGGGAGGGATGCAGAAAGGCCTTCTCCACCTGCTCCTCCCACCTCTGCGTGGTCGGGCTTTTCTTCGGCAGTGCCATCGTCATGTACATGTCCCCCAAGTCCAGCCACCCTGAGGAGCAGCAGAAGGTCCTTTTCCTGTTCTACAGCCTGTTCAACCCGATGCTGAACCCCCTGATCTACAGCCTGAGGAACGCAGAGGTGAAGGGTGCCCTGCGGAGAGTGCTGTGCAAAGAGAGACGCGCCCAATTGGGCTAACCCCTGACTCACCAGTCCAAGTAGCTCTGAGTCTTGGTGTCAGATTACAGCCTGAATCCAGGTGACCTCACACTGCACGCCTTCTCTCTATTTTGGCAGGGATGTATTAGTTTCCTTGCATTCATTGATTCCCTAATAGGTATGCTTTTGTTATATATATATGTATATATATTCTCTTATATTGCTCATTGGGTTGAGTATCTAGGAAATAAAGAATCATTTTAATTCACATGTCTGGGTCCTGAAAGATTAATGCCATTTATCTATCTCCCTAATCAGGTTATGACTACTCATTTACCACAAATATCAAAACTTTCAGCCAAGAGACCCTCTTACTGTCTAGTGAATCCCAGCTCATAGAAGCCCTCGAGGAGAGAGTGGATCTGCCCTGTAGCGTTTCCTAAGCAGCAATATGGAAGCAGATGGCACATCTTTCTCCTAGAGAATGGCTGTGGGTTAGAGCCAGAGACCTTTCTGTTAGCAGCTGAGTCCAGTTACCACCATGCCACCATGGCTTCTCAAACCCAGAGGTGTCCCTTTTCTCACTATTGCACTTGCCACATTCAAAGATTGCTCAGGTGATTCCTTATGTTTGCTGCAAGCTGTTGAGAAATTTTGGAAGTGTTGATGCAAATTAGACAGTGAAATCAGTAGACTGAGTGAAGGGACCAAGATAAGGATGACCTACAGAACAAAGCGAGAGAAAAACTCACGTGTGGCGTTTACAAACCTTGGAATGCAACTGGTTAGGTTATGGGAAGGGGCCATCTCTTCTTGGGTAGACTAATCATGGATGTCAAAGGAAACCATGGGTTGTTTCTGGATTTTCCAGAAAAGTGAGCATTCTGCTATAAACTACATATACACAAAATTGATGTCAAAATTCCCTTATCTTTTAATTCCATTTTTCTACAAACTTTTTGAAGCCCTTTCATATATGCATGTTATAATTTGCATAATATATGTAAGTTCCATATAAAAAAATGAATATAAACTATATTTTGTTGCATGTATGTTATATTTAAAATGTTGTTATATAGCAACTATATTTTATGAAGGTAAAATATAATGATATATAACATATACTGTAAAATATAAATGCAAATGTATACACACACTATATAACAAGGGGGTACCCCAAGAAACCTGGAATTTTTTTTCAAAGCTATGTATTTAAGTTTTTATACAAAACAATCATTACCTTCAAAGTATTCCTCCATTACACTGAATATATTTGTCAAATCTGTAGTTCCATCCTTGGAAACATCTTTCAAACTCATGTTTGGATGGCTGACAGCACCTTGCTCATTTTTTTGTTCACCTCTTCTACATCATCAAATCGCTGTCCTTTCATGTCCCTCTTCATTCGCGGAACCAAAAAAGAAGTTGCACGAAGCGAGTTTGGGTGAGTAAGGTGCATGAGGCAAGAAAGGCATGCTGTTTTTTGGCAAAAACTAGCACACCGAGATGGCTGTGTGTACAGGTGCATTGTTGTGGTGGCAAAAACAGTCCCCAGTCTACCACAAATCAGGCCTTTTTTTGTCACACACTGTTACACTATCTTTTTAGAACCTCTAAATAGCTTAATTAACAGTCTGACCTAGTGGAACGAACTCCAAATGCACTATGAGTAGACATTTTTGTCTGTTTGGGAAGTGGATGGACATCCAGAACGAGGTTTGTCACCTTTTTAAAAACCAGAAAACCACTCATACACTTGCGTTTTTCCCATAACATTGTCCTTGTAAACTATATTTAACACCAGAACAGTTTCTGTGACATTTTTCCCAAGCAGGAGCCAAAATTTCACAGCTGCAAATTGTTCTCTTAAATCGACCGTCACAAAAAACGAGGTTCAAACAAAACTGATCTTATGAAAAAACTCACTGTGACCTGAACTTTCTCAGGCAAAGCCATGGAGGGCACTAACTCAGAGCGAGTTGCTGAATGCTCACCTGGTGGGAAAAAATACATACTACAAAGGCTATGCTCCGCCTAGCGCGATTCCATTTTTGGTGCAGTACCCCAATGTATATGTACACACATACACATTATATGCATACATAAAGGCACACAATTCATATCTAGCAAACCAGTTGACATCTAGTTATTTCTGACCTGTGGTAACTCTATATATTTTAGAGTGTGACTATGCTCCAAAGGTTTTACAATTGGCTGATTTTTCAGAAAGAGATTACTCGCCCTTTCTTCTGTTGTTAGCAAGCTAGCTTTGGGGGTTATATGTCTGGGTCTTAGTTGAATCGAATTGCCAATCTCAACGAGAATAGGCCAAGTTTGTAGAAAAATTTCATCAGTGCCTCCACCTTGGTAAAACCAGATGTTGGTCAATTTCTCATTAGAATGAATTTATCCTTAATAACAAATTTTGCAAAATCATGTATGGCCATAGCTAGCTATTCAGTGTTGGTGGTGATGTGACTTTGGCTGAAACATCCAGTCCACTAATCCAGTGATCAGAGGGGAGTCCTCTCACACATTCAAGTGGCCTCCCAGGGTCTACACGGTCTGTTTGCTAACCTGCTGTTAATGAGCATCTTCACTTTTTCCACATCCTTCCTCAGTGCCTCAATATCAGTGGATCGAAGTCTTAGTCATAGAAAAAAATGTGTGCCCTCCACTTGAGGGTTAAGAAGTACTCAACCCAACCTTCCTCCTGTTGTGGGGGGATGGGTGGGGACACCAGGCAGAGCTTACTCAATGCAAAATCAAATGTATTTTAAATAGCAAATATCTTATCATTTACTTCCTCAGTGCCCCACACTATGCATTGGGAGCCACGCTATGTGGCGCTCCTCACTGAGTTATCAGGAGAAAATTCGGTTGTGAAGCTGCAATGATCTCTCCATTCTCTATAGGCACAAACCAGCCAGTACCAAACCC